ATCGACGATACTGTGAGACTTCAGACAACGATAACGCTACATCAAAAGATATGGCTAGTGAACGTTAAATGCTGAAAGAATGTAAGTGGTTAATGTAAAAGAAATGAATATTTTCTTATCTTTTAGATTGTCGATGTTGTATACAAATGTTAATGCATTTCGTAAAAAACTCGTTTGAATTGCGCAGAGGTATCAAATGCAAAGGAAACATTGCAATATAAAAGCTAACTGCTTATATTGGGCCAAAGAATCTTGTAAATGGACAGTTCGCAAAGGACACTGGTAAAAGTGATATCGGTAATATCTCCGGCAGTAGTTTAATTGGCTGACGAGCTTTCACGCGAAATAAGTCTTTTCGTTGACTGGCAGTATCAGTAAGAGGACAGTGTTTCAACGTTATCGCGTCATCACTGCGTCGATCCTCCTGGTGTGATGTAATTAAGCATGTTTTATAATGAATGATGGACAAATGAATCGAGACGCGTAACTAAATCGAACAGTCAATCGTATTACATTTTAAAATCCTCGTCAAAGCCCAAGATTCTCGGGTAAAATTTACGTTCGTGCAAATGCCCCTCCCCTTCCACTTGTGGGTAAAATTCGTAAAAGATTCGACGGCGAAGAGCCATTTGTCCATCTTACAATTAGATACACCGACTGGCGCAACACACGGAATAAAGACTGAGTCGCTCCACGCCATGATTATTTTGGCAATTATTGTACTTTCCTATATGTACAATTCTATCGTACATGTAATATACAGTAATGTATAATCGAGCACTGAAAGGCAAACGCACAAGTACACATCATTCATCGAGGTCTACCTCCCCCTTTCTCGTTCACCCTTCGAAGAGAGGAAATTAAAATAAAATAAAATGGAACTCGCTCGCGAAGATTCACCTCACCCTTATCCGTCCGTGGTCGAGGAATCTCTGTTCACTGGTATTATGTACTTTTATCGACGAACCGTAGAACGCGTTTCGTAACAAGATGCTAGAACCTAAAGAAACCGTCTCGTCGAGACCCGTCGAACTCTGGTTCGCGATTTTCTTGGAAAATAGACGCATGTGTCGTCGTTACGCTTCTCATTCCAAAATCATTTCTTCAAGAAAAATATCTTTGTGACGGACACATGGGACGACGGTCTCTCTCTCTCTCTCCCTCTTTCACTCTTTCTCTTCGAATCCTCTAACCGTTCCGTCAATGGGGAAAAAATTGAAAAGCGCGGTTAAAAATAAATCGAACCGTAGAGAAGGGCGCGTACTGTTTGTACATCAGGGCTTCGATCGTCGAAAATAGTTCTGTTCGTCGTTATTTGACGACCAAGTCCGTTTAAAATCTTGTTCGATTGATACACTGTCTGACAATGCATCGGAGAGAAAAACCTGTAGAAATTTCGTTCGACAGTCGCAACGACGACAAGATGTCGGTTTTGACTTCTCGCTTGGCAATGTTGCTCCAGGCAACGTGCGTGAATTTTGCTCATAAAACGGCATGCAAACACTCTAAAATCTATATAACGTCTATCGTGTATGTAATCACGTTTCGTGAGATAAACCTTGAAACTTTTAAAACGGCTTCGTAATGCTAAGAGACTCAAAAATTCATCTGCCAACGCGCGAAGGTTGAAACGCATCATCTCTCGGACTGACTGTCAAGCGAAACGATTATTCTGAGATTGCGTATCAGAGGTATATCTCTTTTCTCTTCTCCCAAAATTATAAACCCTTCCTTCGGATCATATCGTCCACGTAATAAACCTTGAACCCCTCCTTGCGAAAATATTGTCGTCTCTCGTTTCAAATGTGTTAGCGTTTCGTTTAATTTTAAAGACAAACCATCGAACAGAACATACTGTAGATCGTCGATTATTCCATTACCGATCGCGATCATATCGACACGATACGTGACGTTCTTGATACCAAGAAAGAGGAAAACGAAGAAGCACCCTTCGAATCGTTCGTCCCCCTCCCCTTTTTCTCGTCCCTCCATTTGGCAGTGGACGAGCGAAAAATGGAGAGATTGTCGCAGTGAATTGTACCGAACGGCAACGTTCGAACGTTCCGAGAAACGAATCGCGTCAAAAGATGAAATTGGCTCCAAGTTATTACATGCTGTCCTATATACGGTTCGCGATCGATTAAAATATAGATTATGTGTCACTTCGAATACAAAAATACAATTCTCGATGGAGATCAACAGGCGCACGGAAGGCCGTATCCGCCCCTGTGCAATCCATTCTCAATTGCATCGTCAACGATTCACTGGTACGACTGTACACGCACGCACACGCACACACGATACGTATAATGTCTATATGCAACACGTTCAACCCTTTCGGTGCGTGGATGGTTTGTCCTATCGCAGAATACGGGCAACTACCTTCAATATCGAAAGGGTTGAAGTATACGTTCTACCGTAGTCCAGAAGAAATCCTAGAAGATCGAGTTAATTTTGTTGCCAAGTTTCAATTGAAAGTAACACATTTGATAAAGGAAAATTACGTTCTCGGTGATAACTCTCTTCGTTTTGAAGTAGTTATTGCTTCTGGATTAACGGAAGATCGTCTGCTACTCTGAAAGCTTGTTCAGAGTTAATGCAATGTTATATGTATAATATATATTTCCTTCACTTGGAATTTCGAAGAAACAATTGGCTGTCGTTATCATGATTCGTTTACAATTTCCGAAAGAAAATTTTATTTCATCAGGAAATAAAATAAATATGAAAAAAACAATACTTGATCTTCCAAACATAAAGTACAGAGTCAGAGAAAGAAATCCGAGTCAAATTTAATAGTATCGTCTTTTAAATTATTCCATGAATTATTAGTAATTCCATTCTGGTATTTTTCTTTTTTTTTTTTTTT